ATGAACCAGAAAAAGTAGATACTTTATAATGAAAAATTTCCCTGTATATACTTTTAGCTTTATGATTGATTAATGTCAATTAAGATGGAAGAGAATCTAAAGATTTCTACAGAAAGAATTGTAACCCCTAAAATTCTATTTATACTTAGTTAAGCATATATTTTGAAAATAGCGTGACAAAAATGTTGCTTATAACATGAGGAATTCAGAAACTGTGGAATCTAATCATTGTAGACCAAATGAACAAGTGGAAATTTCACTCATTAAACAATGAGCTTGAGAAGTGCAGATGCTGAAATGGGAAAAGGAGTAATAGTGATTCTACTTATGTACTGAGTACTTATAACTCAGTTGGCAATATGGGAAAGCACAGAGGATCTCATGACATTAAAGAAAACAATAAACCTGACCATCAGCCCACATCTGTACATCCTTTTTATTTCTTAGAGGTCTACACTGCCCCAAAAGAAATAAACTAAAAATTACTTCAAATTATTAATTACTTTTACCTTTCCTTTTGCTTTTAGAGGTCTTAAGGGAATATACTTTGGCCTCTATAAAAACATTATGAATGTTTCACTTGGTGATTGTTGCATGCTGCTTTTATTAGGAGGCAGAAGGATTTCTGTGATTGTAGGACAATCTGATCTAAATAGTGAATTCCAGGACAGTTGTGGCTATGTAGAAAGATTATACCTCAAAAACACACAACAAAACAAACCCCCTAGAAAAGGAGATTATGGAACAAAATGTACTTAGCCTCTGTCCTAGTTACTTTCTTTTTTAAAATTTAAATTAAAAACCATCTTATTTTACAATCAATCCCAGTTCCCTCTCCCACCCATCCTCCCATGCCCCTCACCAACTCCCCATCCCACCCCCCAGGGAGGGTGAGGCCTCCCATGAGGGATCAATACAGTCTGCCACATCATTTGTGATGCTGTGATACAGTGCCTTGATCAGGACAACTTACAGTAGAAAAGGTTTATTTGGGGCTTACAGTTTCAGAGGGTCAGAATCCATGACCATCATTGGGGAGATATGGCAGCAGGCAGGCATACATGATTCTGGAGCAGTAACAAAGAGCTTAAAGCTTAACTCATAAGCCTAAGGCAGAGAGAGATAGCTGGGAATGGGGTAGGTGTATAAGACCTCGAATCCAGGCTCCAGTGACAAACCTCAACCAATAAGGCCACACCTCCTAATCCTTCCCAGAAAGTTCAACCAACTTGGGACCAAGTATTCAAACACATTTTCACTTAAACCATCACATACATAATAAGTAAAATTTACTGAATGTGTGTGTTTTCTTTAAAGACTAATACTAATTATATGAGAAAAGTTCTACTTTAATTTCAGTTTTACATATGGGAAAACTGAGAGGCAGGTTAACTAACTTGCTCATTTTACTTGAGAATATAGGGTGTATCTCTCTATACAGCCATGGGAAGAATCCAGTAGTAGACCCTGTTTTATCTCACTGTCAAGTTCCTGAGGTAGCTACACATTTCTGTTTAAATATATGTACATATGCACTGAGTGCTGTTCCAAGTTGTTCATTATTGCTGGTTGGTGGCATTTCTCCTTTTAGACAGCTTCAGGAATTATTTGAATTTGTTAATTTTACAATAGTTATGTGTTGATTTTTATAAAAAGTTAATACTTCATAAGAAATTGTGAGAAAACAATGACACAGCAATTTTCTTCATATCACATAAACTGAGTAAACATGCTGTAAGCTTGGATCCTAGAGCTTTTTATTTTTTTCATCCAGATGGTTCTTGAACATTATGTTAAAAAGTATTTAATACCATAGTTACTGGTATATAAACATTGGCTGCATTTCTTAAAATTAAGATTCTTATAGATACAACTTATACAATAAATCTTAATATACGATAAATATTTACAAAAGCATTCATCATAAAACATGATGTTTAATTGCTGTATGGGTAATCTGAGCAAGGTTCCCTTCATTATATAGAAGAATAATGAGCTGTGATGAAAACTCCATGGAGCTAAAAACGGGCCAAAAGAGAACCTGAAATTGAGAAAGTGTTTACAATCTAAAGTTAAACAAGGACTTGATAAGAGTTTAATGGTCACTACCATTTGGACAAAAGTATTATGCACAACTCAAAGGAGGAAATGAAGCGTTTATGTTTCTTCAGCATCAACAAAGCAGTTGTCTTTGTATTTTGTTTCTAAAAACAAATGAAAGTATTACTTATCTTTCTGACCTGACTCATAACTAAGAAGTATTAGAACAGAGACACTGCTATATTTAGTAACAATTGCAAGGTGACAATAAGTGGAAATTTGAATTTAACAGTTTAATTACAGAAGAAAAACCATATATATGAATAGTATATATATAATATATACTATTATATATAATATATATAATATATAATATATATATATATATATATATA